GGGGGGGGGGGGGGAGAGACTATGTGCTTTGCCCCATTAAAGAGTTTAATTTTTCATGATGGAAGCTCTTCTTGGGTGGGAGGGGTGTCATGCATTAAAGGGATGTGAAGCTCATCACTTTGGGTCAATCAGGGCCCGGTGCCCTCTTTTATGATGGCGCCACAGACACCGCTAAGCAGATCACGTTAGCCGCTGCAATGTGACATCAAACCGGGCACTTGTGCATTTGTTATGTGGGGAAATGCCATAATTCATTGTGGTAATTGCACTTAGGCAGGCGGCATATCGGTGCATCAGGCTGCCCCACGTCCTGTTTATATAAATGAGAGCCCGTCCGCACACTGAGAAATCGATCCTATCTGCCTTCAGCGGTCAATAAGCTTGTTAATCGTTTGACTGATCCATCGTGGCTTCTGTGAAACGGGGCAGCCGCGGGATTGTACTCGCTCCTAAACGAGTTATCCTCGTGCCACATGATTAAGCACTTCCGGTGGCAGTTTAATGTATTTTTCTTCCTTTCGTTTTATTTTATACTATGAACCCAGAGCCTGACAGCCTGCAAGCCATAAAAGTTTCCACATATCAAGTCTTATTATATAAAGTGCAGTTTCCGGTGAAACTTCAGCGTAAAGTGCTTGTCTTCAGGAGGAGGGCAGAGGACCCCACATAGTGGACACTGGGACTGACTCGACCTGATTTCTTCACTAGATCTTTTTTTTTTTCTTTATACACTCCTGCCTCCATTTCACCAGCAAACACTCATAAAGTTGTAAAAACACAATAATACAGCAACAGCGCGCTTGATGATGTAAACAATTTTTAAAAAAAATATGAAGAAGCGAGTCATTTGTAAGAAATGAACAGAGCTGTATAAGTTAACGGTTTGAATAATATTTCTGATTCAATGTCCTGTCGGACATTGCTTTAAAATCTTTGACAGATTTGTTATTATTTTAAGTAAAAATTAGATTTAAAATGGGCCTTTTTCGTTTATTTTGGAGCAGTAAATGGCAGTGTATTTGCCAGAAGCTCATCTGTGGAGATGTTTAGAGAGAATTACAGTTTAATTACAAAGAAAGCCCTTCTAAAATGTGGATTTGCTCCTTGCTGTCATAAATCCTTTGAAAATCCTTACCTTACAAAATTACTGGATTCCTCGCGAAACGGCCAATCACCTGGCATTCAGTCGTTATGTATTTATATATTTTCAAAGGTGAAATGCTTGTTTAGCTTTGTTGATTCGCGAAAGTGATCCATAACGTTATGCACACCAGTTCTCGTATGTAGTTTAAAATTGAACACCAGAGGGCGACTTTACCTCTTACCCTTTTAATCTTTACTGCCACTACTGTCGGAGCACCTGTGCTTGCGTTACTGGGACAGAAATGGAATCACTTTGGCGGATAGAAGCTCACTAGTTGTAGAAACTCTTGGGTATGAGATTCATGGCTACTCGAGGTGAAACGTGTGGGACCAAATAAAATGTGAATGTAGAATTCACAAAAAGCATTTTATAAAATGTGTCGCTTCCTCCAGCGAGCCAGGCAGTTGTAGTGTGCTTTTATTTTGCAGACATCGTGGCCTAACTTCTGGTAGAGGCTCACTGTGTGACGCCACTTAACTGAGAGGCCCAGCCTATTTTGATTACGTACCAACAGGGGAGGAGGGGGCCCGCTGATGTCCTCTCTCGTGCACTCAGCCAACCCCTGCTGCTGTTGTAAGGTAAAGCTGGCGGTATCCTAGTGTACCCTTGTTAAGGATCCGCCGCCGAAAGAACCCGGTTTGCAGACATCGGATCTTCCAGAAATAATTATTTTATGCGTCGGGGAGATTTCCTACCCAAATTACGCATGGAATGGTTTTGGGGGGATTGGAGTAGAAATGCAGCGCCGCACTTCCAGCCCACAACAAGAACCATGCCCAGCTTACACTGCAAGCAAATTTATGACATCCTGTTTTATCCTTTACGACTTTGATATGAGTGAATTTTACTTGGATAGTCACCAGGAGTGAAGAAAAAGAAACGCATCGCACAGAGCTGAAGGACGCTGTATTCGCCGCAGACGTTTGTGTGCCGAGAAACCTCTACGTTTAGGATTTATTTTTATTTTTCTCTTTTTTTCTTTTTGATGGAGCTGGAGAACATAGTAGCCAACACTGTACTGCTAAAAGCCAGAGAGGGTAAGTTGACACAAATAGTAAGCGGGCCTGCTTTTGTCATATTTTGAGCTGTGCAGAAAAAAAAATAATCGTAAGGATGACGGCAGCCTGCAGACTGTGTGGCTCATTACGGCAGGTAAATCCTAAAGATGCAACAGAAAAAAAATCGGGAGGGGGTGCTGTGCAGACAGTGCAGACAACATCAACGGAACACCGCGAAACTGCTCGTCTTGTAATCAGTGATAGACTCGAGTCAACCAAAATCCTTGCACATTTTGACAGATTGTATGCCCCCCCCCCCCCTCCATTATATATATAAAAATATATATATGTTGGGGGACGGGGGTGGCAGGGGAGGGAGGATGGGAGGGTGGTCTGCCTCCCACATCCGCTTTCGTTGTCTGTGCATATGAAAGCGGCTCTTTCGCAACGTTATGCATGCTGGAGCAAACACTGACACGGGGAATAACTCCTTTCTAGAGGGGGAATAAAATGAGCTTAGGCTGTCTGACATTTGAAAGGTGATCCGATGACGTGACTGGTGTTGAAATCTGTGTAAAGGGCCCCTGCGGAGAGACGGACTCTGCTTATCTGTGTAGAAAGAGTCAAATGTCTGAAAAGGCCAGTTGCAGCCCGACAGCACGGTCTGAAATATGAAGGCGCACGGTGTCATTAATAGTTCATTCTGAGGAAGACAGGGTTGCGCTGAGGGCACGAGGAAGGCCTGGAGGTAAACGCCGCGCATTGTGTGATGCATTGACCGTTTTGGTCGTGGGGATCATGTGGGCACTTTTATTTCAGGTTTGGGGCCTGTGGGAAGTTACAAAACAAAATTCATTAGGTTTCGCCTCATAAGCCAAAATTAGGGAGTGTTTTGGTTGTGCAGCTTTAAACAGCAAGATAAATCCTGAGAGAAATAGCCATCCTTTTCCCTTATTCAGTCTGGGTAATGTCCAGAAACTTAAACAAAATGAAAACGGATTACATTTTGTCCTGAGTGTACCTGGGTCCCTTTGGGATGCCCTTTGAACTCTCCTCAGTAATCCCAAACCTGTTTTGGGAATCAGCAGGGTTTAAAAACCACCACTCACACTCATCCCACTTTATTGTCATGATTATTCTTTTTTGTTTTGTTTTGTTTTTTGGAACTGGTTGCAACAGTTTTCTGTCTTTCTGTAAATGCATCAAATCTTTTGCTTCAGTTTAAAATGACTCGGTGTATGTACAAGTGCAAGTGTACACAGGTCCGGTTGCAGGGAAGCTCATAGTTTGATGTGGCAAAAGCCTCTGCAGAGTTGCAAGATGACGCAGGAAAAGACTTTGGTTCTCTCGCAGCTCCTTCTACGCGTGTTACAACGTTGGCACGTTTTTAAAATAAATGGGCTTCTTGCACATAGAGCTGGAAGTGTTTCATAGGCACTAATAGAGTAATAAAATGAACCAGGATGGCGACATGCTGTCAAAATCCACACGAAGAATGCCTTCGCCTGTGGGTTGGACTGGACGTTTGTTTTATGGCAGCAGAACACGACTGGGCCGAGTGAATCAAGCTTCATGAATTAATAAGAGCAGTTAATGACCCATGACAGATCTCGCTTGTCCCAGCTGCTCCAATGGTGTGCATCTGCCCTGACTGTGTGTGCGCGTGTGTGTGGAGGAGAGAATAAGGCCTTATACAATTATTGGATGAGATGGATCTTTGAGTTAATAGCTGAAGCACGACTTTCTCAGCAGCTTGATCAATGCCTCTATAAATGTAGCTGTGTGGGACTGATTCAACAGTTGAATTGGAGTGTGCAGTGCACACACTGAACAATTTCACAGGTTGCATTATTGGTTGTATCCTCTAATGGTCTAAATCATTAGAGGTTTTGTATTACGTGATGCAGTGCCAAAGGCTATGCACATCCATGTCTGCTGCTGTTAATGCTGCTGCTTTCTGTGCATGCATGCATTTAAGCAAGGCACTGTACTGTACACACAGAGAGTCATTTTAGATCATGCACTAGCAACAGCCGAGAGAATGCGAGTGGAGCAAAGTGAAGAGTGTTTTTTCCTGTTTGTTTATGCGAGCATATCTCCAGCCATGCCTGAACTGAGAGGCAAGCATCCTCTGTCTAAACTTCTCCAGCTACGGACAACAGGAAGGCCCAGTTTACACTGCAGTCTTTGGCTTGTTTATGCCAGCATCCTCACACCTCCCAGATCAGTAAAACTGTGCAAGTTGGAGAAAAGAGGAGAAATAAGAAAGCTATTGATATCCCCGGGCCAAGAGTGGCAAAACAGGCCTCGTGCCAGCCTCTGGTTGCTCTTTGCCTCTTCAGTGCCAGCGATGGCTGCTCTGACGGTGCTGGTCTGGCATTTGCCACCAAGTTTGGTGAAGGCTCATCGTCGCTTCAGAGATAATTTTGAGATTAGTAATTAGCTGGAAGATTGGAAACACTTTAGAAATGGAGGATTTCTAATCAAAAGAGTGCTCCGTTTAATCACAGTAAAAAACCTAACTTGATTTCCACAAGAAGAAATTTTTTTCTTTTTTTTAAAGAGAGGGGCTCTGACCATATTGGACCATTTTGTTAAGTGACCGCTGTCTTACATAAAGCTCAATGGTATAATACGCTATCAGTTTGATGCAGCCCATAAGCTGTTTAATCAAATTGATTGTTACATAACAAACTGAGTGGGCTACTGCCATCCGAGCTCCATCTTCCTGTAGAGCTCCTCTCCGGTCTCTGCG